TAGACTCTAGCCATAAACAAAGGACATTAAGCCTATAGTTGGCAAGCCTAGAGAAGCCAAATAACAAGGTGAACCCAAAGAAAAACATATATAGATCCTCCTGGAAATTGGAAGGAAACAAGATTGCCGGGCAAAAGTTGGGAGCATGAGAGTGGGGGTAGGGGTAGGGGCAAGGAAAGGGGGAGAGAGAAGGGAGAAAGGAAAGACTGGAGAGAGCTTGGGGGAGTGGGAGAGTGGATATAGGATCAGGGAAGAAGATATCTACATTAAGGGAGCAATTTTAGGGTTGATAAGAGACTTGGCTCTTGAGGGAATTCCAGGTGTCCCCGGGGATGTCCCCAGCTAGGTCCTGGGGCAGCAGAGCAGGCCTTGCCCCACTATCACACCGATGTTTATCTTGAATATCACCACAGAATCTTCGTCCGGCGAAGGATGGAGATAGAGACACAGACCCTCATCAGAGCAGCGGATTGAGCTCCAGTTGAAGAGCAGAAGAAGGGAGAAGACGAGCAAGGAAGTCAGGACCGTGAGGGGTTGGTTCACCCACTGAAACAGTGCCTGTTCTAATGGGAACTCACCAAATCCACCTGAAGCAGGACTGAATGAGCATGCGATCAAACCGGACTCTCTGAATATGGCTGACAATGGGGGCTAACTGAGAAGCCATTGAGGCACTGGGACTTGTTTCTACTGCATGTACTGACTTTTTGGATGCACAGCTTCCTAATCCTGGATGTAGGGGGGGAGGGCCTTGAACTTCCCACAGGACAGGGTTGCCTGCCCTCTCTTAAGGAGGGAGGGGGAGGGAGGAGGGTGGGTGGGGGAGTGGGAGGGAAATGGGGGGAGGGGAAGAAGTGTAAATTTTTGATTGGGAAAAAATAAAAAAAAAAAGTGCTTTGGTCCATTTCGAACTCCAGGTGCCCGAGGATGGTGGAGTGCCATGTACCTCATTCATTGTCTTTCTGAATGCACACTCAGCTCTCCAAGATCTCCTGTCCCCATCCTATGGTTAACAAGAACTGACTCAAGGTAGAACAATTAGACTTGGGGAACCACACCAAAAGGCAACAGAGGAAAGGACCAGCAAGGGGTGTACTGATCCTTGGATGGCTCAGGCCTACAATAGCAGACTCTCAAGAGACTAGAAACAGAATCTGGACCCTAATCACTAGTCCCACAAAAGAAAATAATGTTCCTAATCTCTTTTTAATATTTTCTGAACATTGTGCACACTTACAATAAAAGGTGGTTGTAGCAAAATAATAAAACCCCAGAGACAGATATTGGGATTCAACCTGAAGGTCAGAAAAGCAAAGCAGACAAGCCACTAGAGAGCTCTTACCACTAAGAAGTTCTCAGACTGAAAGAGTGTAAGTTCCTGTCTCATCCAGCCTTATTTCTCTCTAGTGTTGGGATTAAAGGTATGTGACTCCCTAGTACTGAGATTGAAGGTGTGAACCATCACACCTGCATTTTTTTCCCCATTGACTTTGTATAGTCCAGGGTGACCTTGAACTCACAGAGATCCATCTGCCTCTGTCTCCCAAATCCTGGGATTAAAAGCGTGTGACACCACTGCCGGGCCTCTAGTGGCCTTGTTTTACCTTCTGGTCTTCAGGCAAGCTGTATTTATAAAACATAAATAAAATATCATTATAGGTAGGAGACATTATAGGTGGCTGGAAGATTCTTCACCTTCCTCAAGAATACCTGGATGCACTCTGACCAGGGAAACAGGTAGGCTAATTGCAGATCTTCACCTCTCCTGCTCCTCCAAATCAAACTCCCAGAGCCATGCCAGCTCTTCAGCAAAAACACCTGCTGTGATCTCCCTTCTCTTCCCTGACCCTTTCTCCAGTGGATCACACAGGTCTTCCCCAACCTTCTTTCCTCTACTCATGACTTTATCCCCTGTCACCAACTCAAGCAGACATCCTCTGGGAACCCCCAGGCCACTGTGACCTGGGAAACAGGTAGGCTGATTGCATAGCTTCATCTCCCTCTGTTTCTCCAAGTCCAACGCCCAAGTCTCATCTCCAGCCCTGTAGTAGACCTTCCACCATGGTCCTTCTTTACTCTCTGCTCCAGTTCCTAGAGGTCTAAGTAGATCCTGGTAGAACACCCTGCTTTCTTCCCTCCCGTGGACCCCTCAATCCTAGCCTATCCCTATTCCTAAATGTCAACTTCCAATGCCCAGGAATACATTTTACCTGGAACCCCAGTGTCCACAGCTAATAGGATCCCAGAAGAAACTCCTACCAGGAAACACAGTCACCACACTCTCCTAAGAACCAGAGAGGGCAACATAAAGCAAGGAACAAAACACTCACCCAACAAGACAAGACGTCAACATCTAGAATTGCAACCTTCCTAATTCCAGATGCCTAGATGCAAATATAAAACCACACTCAATGGCAGCAGGGACAGTGTGTCTCCTCTAGAGCCCAGCAACCCTACCACAGCAGGGCCTTTTGTATTGCAGCACAACTGACACACAAGGAAAAGAAAGACCTTAAAATAGCCTTTATGACCATCATCGGGGCCCTGAAGAGGAAGTAAACCAATATCTTAAGGAAGTCTATGAAAACACAAACAGTGAAAAATTAATAAAAATGATTCAAAACCCAAAAGTGGAAATAGAATCAGTAAGGAAAACACAAACCGAAGGAAATCATGAACCGAGAAATTTAGGAACTTGGACAAGAATATCAGAGGTAAGCCTCACCAACAAAATATGGAAAAGATATGGAAAAGAGAATCTCAGGTTCTGGAGACAGGATATAAGAAATGGATGCCAGCTGGGCAATGGTGGCACACCCCTTTAATCCTAGCTCTGGGGAGACAGAGGCAGGTGGGTCATCACTGTGAGCTCAAAGACAGCCTGGTCTACAAAATAAGTTCCTGGACAGCCAGACCTGCTATACAGAGGAAACATCAAGAAAAAAAAAGAAAGAAAAGAGAAATGGATATCTTGGTAAAAAAAATGTTAAATTTGTAAAACTCCTAGCATGAAATATCCAGGAAGTCTGGGACACTATGAAAAGACCAAATCTAAGAACAAAGAAAGACTGTTGAAAGCAGAACGGAAAAAGGACCAAGCCCTATATGAAGATAGACCTATTAGAATTACACCTGACTTCTCAATAGAGACTCTAAAAGCCAGAAGGGCCTGGACAGATGTGATGCAGACTCAAAGAGACCACAAAATGCCAGCTCAGATTATTATACCCAGCAAAACTTTCAATCACAATAGAGTAAAATAAGGAACTTCATGATAAAATCATAAGCAATATCTATTTACAAATCCAGCCTAACAGAAGATGCTAGAAGGAAAAATCCAACCTAAAGAGGTTTACTATATCCAAGGAAATGCAGGAAATAAATAATCTCAGACAGCAAATCAAAAGAATGGAATTGTGTATCCCCCCCACAACCATCAAAAACAAAATCAACAACACTGTTCATTGATATCTGTCAATATCAATGGTTTCAATTCCCCAATAAACAACCACAGATGAACAGAATGAATATGAAAACAGGATCCATCCTTCTGCAGTATCCAAGAAATACATTTTAACATCAGGAATAGACATCACCTCAGCATAAAAGGATGGGAAAAGACCTCCCAAGCAAACAGAAATGGTGTGGGAGAATTGTCTGTATTCTGTCAATCATATTTTAATAAAACACTGATTGGCCAGGCAGGCAGTATAGGTGGGAAAGCCAGACAGGAAGTAGGGGTGGAGCAAAGAGATTGGGAGTATTCTGGGACACAGGAAGCTCTCTCGCCACTCCTGTGCAGACCACCGAAGAGGCAGCATGTAACTTGCCCAGCTGAGAAAGGTACGGAGCCATTATGGCTAACATAGATGAGAATAATGGGTTAATATAAGCTATAAGAGTTAACAAGAAGCCTGACCTAATGGGCCAGTCAGCTTTATAACCTATAGAGATCTCTGTGTGATTGATTTTCTGGGGCTTGCTGGTTATGGGGTACCCGGGCAGGACAGAAACCCCAACAAACCGGCCCCTCATGTTACACAGAAACTTAAGAAGAAAGTTAGTGTGGCCATTTTAAAATCTGAAAAAAATAAGACTTTAAACCAAAACTGATCAGAAGAGATAGGGAAGGACACTACATACTCAGCAAAGGAAAAATACACCAAGAGGATATTGCAATTCTTTACATCTATGCCCCAAACACAAAGCACCCACATTTTCAAATGAAATACTTTTATAGCTTAAATCACATATTGAACTTCACACACTGATAGTAAGTGACTTTGATACCACAGTCTCACCAAAAGACAGGTGTTCCAGACAAAAAGAAACACTGGAGCTAACTGATAACATAAACCAAATGGACCTAATAGATATTTACAGATTACTTCACCCAAACACAAAGGAATATACGCTACTTCTCAGCACCTCATAGAAGTTGTTCCAAAATTGACCACGTACTCAGACACAAAGCAAATCTCAATGAGATACAAGAAAATTTGAAATAACACCCTAAATCCTATCTGACCAACATAAATCAAAGGTGGATATAAACAACAGAAAGTTTACAAAGTCATGGAACCTGAACAACTCACTACTGAATGAAAAACACTCCAAGACAGAAATAAAGAACTTAAAGACTTTCTGGAATTGAGTGAAAATGAATATGCAACATACCCAAACTTATGGGCCATGAAGGTGGTTCTAGCAGGCAAGTTCATAGCACTAAGTGTCTACATGAAAAAAGGTGAGTGATCTCACACTAGTAACTTAACAGCATACCTGAAAAACTTAGAACAAAAAGAAGAAAGCACACTCAAAAGGAGTAGATGGCAAGAAACTATCAAACTCAGGGCTTAAATCTGATGGAGGAAGGTCATCTGTCTATTGTGTTACTTTCATTGGTTAATAAAGAAACTGCCTTGGCTTGATAGGTCAGAATTTAGATAGGCAGAGTAAACAGAACAGAATTCTGGGAAGAAGGGAAGTGAGTCAGACGCCATGACTCTCCTCTCTGAGACAGCCACAGGTTAGAATCCTCCCGGTAAGCCACCACTCGTGGTGCTACACAGATCATTAGAAATGGGTTAATCAAGATATGAGAGTTAGCCAATAAGAGGCTAAAACTAATGGGCCAAGCAGTGTTTAAAAGAATACAGTTTCCATGTAATTATTTCGGATGTAAGCTAGCTGGGATCCGGGCTGCGGGAATGCAGCCCGCCGCTCCTTCTACAGAAATCAATTAAATAGAAACAAAAAAAATACAATGAATCAATTAAATAGTTGATTCTTTGAGAAAATCAATAAGATTGACAAACCCTTTTCTAAATTAACTAGAAGTCAGAGAGAGAGAGAGAGAGAGAGAGAGAGGGGATCCATATTAACAAAATGTTTGCTTTTCCATATGAAGTTGAGTATTGTTCTTTCAAGGTTTGTGAAGAATTATTTTGGAATTTTGATGGGGATTTCATTGAATCTGTAGATTGTTTTTTGGTAAGATTGCCATTTTTACTATGTTGATCCTACCTATCTAAGAACATGGGCGATCTTTCCATTTCCTGATATCTTCTTCAATGTTTTTTATCAAGGACTTAAAGTTCTTGTCATACAGGTCTTTCACTTGTTTGACTAGAGTTACCCCAAGATATTTTATGTGGAACAATTTGAGGATAATTGGTATTATCTTTGAAATTCTGGTAGAATTCTGTGCTGAAACCATCTGGCTCTGGGCTTTTTTTTTGGTTGGGAGACTTTTAATGATTGCTTGTATTTCCTTAGGAGTTATAGGTCTATATAAATTATTTTTCTGGTCTTGATTTAATTTTGGTATGTGGTACCTATATAGAAAATTTTCCATTTATTTTAAATTTTCTAATTTTATGGATTACAGATTTTTAAAGTATGGCCTGATGATTTCTGGGTTTCCTCAGTGTTTGTTTTTATATCCCTTTTCATTTATGATTTTGTTAATTTGGATATATATTTCTCTGCATTTTGGATAGTTTGGATAAAGGTTTGTCTATTTTGTTGATTTTTTTGAAAAACCAACTCTTTATTTCATTGAGTCTTTGTAGTCTTCTCTTTGCTTCTATTTTATTGATTTCAGCCCTCAATTTGATTATTTCCTCACTCCTCCTGGGTGAGGTTGCTTCTGTTTGTTTTAGAGCTTTCAGGTGTGCTGTTAAGTCATTGTGGGATTTCTCTAAACTCTTTGTATAGGCACTTAGTGCTATGAACTTTCCTCTTAGCACTGCTCTCACAGTATCCCATAGGGTTGTGTATGTTGTCCCTTCCAACTTCTTTATGCTGTTGGCTATGCTTGCATCTGTAGTTCCTGTTTGATTACCCAGATTTTCCATTTCCAAATTCCCTTGGTTTGTGTTTTCTTTGCTGCCTCTCTTTCAATTTTCAAGTCTTGAATGGTTTCTTCACCTCTTTGATTGTTTATTCTCAGTTTTCTTGGCATTCTTTAAGGGATTTATTAATTTCTTCCAATTTTTTGTTTGCCTTTTCCTCCATTTCTTTAAGGGAATTTTTCATTTCCTCTTTCAGGGCCCCTCTCATCTTCATAAAGTTATTTTTAAGATTGTTTTCTTCTGTGTTGGGATGTGCAGGTCTTATAGTTGTAGAACCACCAGGTTCCAGTGGTGTCAGTTTGCTCCTCATGTTGAATGTTCTTTCTCTGTTGTTCACCCAACTCTTTCTGGTGCGGGTTGTGCCTGTGATTCTGGGGGCTGCTCTTCATTCAGTCAGTTAGGCAGTGTCTGTGCCTCGAGGGACCACTGATGCTATAGTGGATGGTTGGGTTTGTGGGATGGGGTGGGACTTGTAAATTTCAGTGTCCAATGTGGGGGTGCTAGTGTGGTTGAACAGCAGGAGCCCTACCTGTTGGCATCTAGTAGGGCTGTAGTGGGTGGTGGAGGGGAACAGAATTCATCCTGGGTCCTACGACCTAAAGACAGGGCTGCCCAGCCAGGAGACCAGTCACTCACCTCTGCTTCCAGTCTGTGCAGGCAGTGTTTTCCAAATTAATAAAATTTGAGATGAAAATGGAGACATTACAATAAACATGGAGGAAATTTAAAGACTCATGAGAACAAACTAAAAAAATTATATTCCACTAAGTTGGAAAATCAAAAAGGAAATAAGCATACTTACGCACATGCATGCACACACACACACACACACACACACACATGCTTATCTGGTACATTACATTTATTGACTTGCATGGGTTGACTCAATCACTCAGTCTCTGGGGTGAAGTCAATTTAGTCATAGTGCATATATACTGTGGGAGGTAACCCAGTCCCAGAGGGACAAATGTCACATGCTTTCATTCGTATGTGTATTCTAATATTGAACCTTTAGATTTGTGTGTTTACATTGGAGTACCCACAGAATCCATGAAGCTGAAAAAGGACCAGTGGAGTGGGTGAAGAAAGATCTTAAGGCGAGCAGGGTAGTAGAACACACATGATAAGAAGGGGTAAATGATAAGAAGGAGAATGACGAGGAAGAAGGTATAGATGGGGGTTAGAGCAGGAGAAAATGTAGGCGGAAGGAGAACCAGCCCTAAGGACTTCTGGAAAAGCTATACAGAAACCCACTACTTTATAAGCTACACACATGCATGCACACACACACAAACACACACATATGTACATATGTGCTCATATGTATTATATTTATCTAAAAGAATGTAATTGGAGTTTCCCTACACAGGAGATAATACTCCTCCTTGAAGTCACAGGTTGCCAAATGAAAAGCCCAGTATCAGGTGTAGAGTACCTACCTCTCTGTAAGGGCTATGAGTTCTGTTCCAGCCCTACCCAGGGTCCCAAAGGTGAAATGCTTTTCAGGAGTGAAGGGTGTGTAAAGGATTTCTATAACTTCGCACAGACAGGCGAATGCTCTTTATTTCAAATGCTCTTTAGTGTTCTGTCTATACTACAATAATCCTGTTTTACTTCTAACTTTTCCATGCTTCTTCTAGTTTCTTCTTCTATTCTATAAACTCTTCTCCTACAGGAGGCTTGAAGAGATAAGGAGCTGAACCACTTACCATGGCAACACAAAGATCCATGGCCATAGGAGCAAATCCTCGACCAGACAAAGGGGAAGCACAGTGCCCAGTGACAGCTTTGAGACACGAATCCATTATAGTAGACTGGCAAGCAAAGAGTAGGCATGCTTCAAGGTTAATGTGAGGTTAGGTTGGGACAGCTCTTTCCTACCAGCTGGCGGAGTGGACCCAGGACACTCTTGTTCTCTATCTCTCTGAGTGCTATGACGCAACAACTTTAGACATGTTGTAATTCTGGTCCTTGGGCATCTGTGAATGCTTCAAATGAGGTCCCTTTGCCTGGACACTAACACTGACCAACTGTCTGCCGAGGAAGAGAGCAGGCTTCTAAGTTTATACAAAGACCTGATTATTTTCTTGCCAGAATCGTGCACTGCTGGGGGACGTCATCCAAGATACCAATGCATAGGGAAAATTATACCCAGTAGATGGTTAACACACTGTAGTGCTGTGGAAAGAATCCCAAGCTGTCATCTGCAGGAAAGAGCTCTTCACCCAGGAAGTCTGCAATGGGGAGAGCTTAACAAATTCAGAGGGTCGGTGACAATATTCCTCATCGCCTCGCTAAATGAGGTGTGTCCTCCATGAGCTATGCATTTCTTTACAGTATAGAATCCTGTTATCTATAAATTGGACTAATGACTTATTTTTTCCTATTTGTATCATATATATTTATATAGTTATATTTGTCTTACAGTTCTAGCTAACACTTCAAGCACTATATCAAGTAATGGTGGAGAGAGTGGGAACTCTTTCCTTATATTTATTACCAGTTTCTTCAAGACTTTCATCATGAACTTTGTCATTTGCCTTTTGCTTCTGTTGATGTGATCATCCAATTTATGCCCTTAAATTTACTTATATGGTATATTACTTTTACTGATTTGCATATGTTGTCTCAATCTTACATTTCTGGGGTGAATGTCATAATGTATGATCTTCTGAGTTAGGTTCCTGAATTTCACTTGTAAGTATTCTCTTGAGAATTTTTGCTTCTGTGCTCATCAGGGAAATTGGACTGTAGTTACACTGTTGTTATTGCGTCTTTAGTCAGCTTTGTTGGCAAGGTGATATTAGCTCATAAAAAGATTTTGGCTGAAGAGATGGTTCAGTTATTAAGAGCTCTTTCTCCTCTTGAAGATGACCTGGGTTCTGTTCCCAGGACCCAAACATTGGTTCACAACCATCTTTAACTTTAGTTCTGGAGGATCCAATGCCTTCCTTTGAGGGCATGAACATCGTGTACATACAGACATGTAGGAAAAAAAGCACTCGTACACACAAAATAAGATAAATATATCCAAAACAACAATGAAAGAGTTTGGTAGTGTTCCTTCCTTTTCTATTTATAGAGCCGTTAGAGAGGAAATGGCACCATATCTTCCCTGAAAGATTGGTAGAATTCAACAATGTATCAATCTTGTCTTTGTTGAAAGATTTAGTTATTGCTTCAGTCTCATAGCTTATGATGAATCTGTTTAAATTATTTTATATCTGGATTTAATAGTATTAGGCCATATAGTTTAATAATTTATCCACTAGGTTTTTCAGTTTTTTAGAATATAAGTTTTCAAAGAATTCCCTAATGTTTTGATTTTATGGGTGTTTTTATAGGAATTTCTTTTTCTAATTTAACTAATTTGGATCTTATTTCTTTCCCTTCTAATTTGGCTAGAAGCTTGACAAACCTTTTGATCTTTTCAAATCAACCCCTTATTGATTGATTCAGTGCATTGTTTTTCTAGTCTGTGTTTTACTAATTTCTTCCTAATATTTCTTGCAATTTATTGGATTTGGTGTCTTAAAAATGTTGCTTAGATAAAGGAATATATAAAGTTAAACAACTGACAGGGATCCTATTATAGATTTTTTAAAAGAAAATCAATGGTTTCATTTTAGGTATTTATGTTGGTTGACTTCTGTGCTTCTCTTTTGGGTATGCCCCAAAATGTTTTCATCAGCTATGCCATGGAGCATTGCTGACAAGATACTCATAGCCACAATTACGGTTGGCTTCAGAAGGTTGTTCTCAGAAGATCATGTTCAACACGTCAAGGGTACTGATTTAGAAACACAGAAGAGGAGAGATTCCTTTTTTTTATTTAGAGGAACTTCTGCTGGGAAGACCACTCTACTGAAGCATGAACATTACCAGACATTTTACAGTAAATTCTTCTTAGGAATGGGCAAGAAGTGGCCGAATCCTCCATGAGAGCCTGAAACTGTCACTACTTCCATTATCTCTACAGAGGAAACTGTAGTTTTGAACTCAAATCTAATCCCAAATCCTGTGTTTTTTAAAGACTAGGTCCCCAGAGTGGTGGTATTGGGGATGGGAGGGTACATAAGAGGTAGAGTCTAGGGAGAGGCTGTTAGATCTTGGCTTTTGCTTCCTGTCTATGTGAATTGTTCTGTTATATCATGTTTTGTACATGTGTGTTGCCTTGCCATAGGTCCAAAGCTAGAGAGCCAACGGCCATACATGGAAGGTAAGTGTATGAATCAAAATTAGCACTTTTGTTTTGTAAGTTAATTCCTAAGGTATTTCATTATAGCAATGGAAAACTAGTATATAGATAATAATCTCTGCAAAATTTAAATTCATATATTAAGTCATGGGTTCACAATAATTAATAATAAAATAGAATAATTTTATGAAAATATACACAGATATAGCCCTTCTCCCAAATATCTTATTATACAAAAGTTGGCTTGTGCTTATGACAAATGATTCAATGCTTGTGTGAAGAAATGAAGTCAGATAAATGACATAGAATTGACAACTCCATAATGGTTACCAGAACACAAGCTCTGTAATCTGCTGGCATATGGGACAGTTACTAAGTGACTTGCAGGCAGGTGGTGTCTCAGTATGGACACACTGAACAAGGATGATTCATATTCTAGCTGGCCCAGAGCCAGATGGTGTGGCATTTCATCATGCTATCCAGAAGAGTGTGCAATTTTAAAATTCATAAATTCGGAGAAGTTTATGGATTCATTAAGTTTACAAGTGAAATAGTTTACAAGTGAAATTTCCCGTTTAGAATTTTTGGATCACAGTTGACTTCATGGGTAATTGAAACCATAGAAAGCAAAGCCATGAATGGCGGTTGGGGTTGTTACTATATTCCTAGTAGAGATGCACATAGAATAGGGGCCTGGCAAATTTTTTTTGAATGAATGAAAGAGAACTGTCCCACGGTTAACATGGTGAGGATTAGAAAGCCTTTGGCTCTTTATCCAACACTTGCCTTCAAATTGCTGTATGTATATTTCACAAGGTAAAATCGTCCTGCTACAAGGAATTTTCAAAGCTGGCCTCTGATACAGAGGTAGCGTCCGTGCCATTGGGAATACAAAAGTTTGTTGAAATATTTTGGAGATCCTAAGAGGATTAATTTATTACAAAAGCAATACACATTTGCTATGCACTGAGAAATAATGAGACCATATAAAGTATGGGGCAGAAGGTTGTGTTGGCAACATCGGCTTTTGAAATTATTGTGACAGAAATACACACTTGGAAGAATTCAGGTGCTATGGTACTCTGTCAGTGGGTGAAAGGCTCCTTTCCCTTGCTCCCTTGAGAAATTGCTGTTACTGGCTGGGAAAGGATTTTAGGCTTTACATTAGAATGAGTGTTCACTAAATGCACTGTTTTAATGGCTGGTTACTGACCTGGTGTAGAAATAGACCATGCTTCACTTAAGCTATCCTTATTCATTGACGTTTGAATAGTTTTCTCTATTATTAACTATGTTCTGATGTAATATTCTTTTATATGTACTTTTTACGGGTTTCCATGTACTTCTGTGGCTAAATATTAGAAGTAGAAACGTTAGTTTATTTAGAACAAAAGTAATCACTTAAAGCCGCAGTTCTCAACTTGTGGGGCATGACCTTTGGGTTGACTAACTCTTCACCAGGGTCTCCCAAGACCATCAAAACCCACAGATATTTACATCATGACTCACAACAGTAGCAAACTACAGTTATAAAGTAGCAATGGAAGTAATGTTATGGTTGGGGGTCGGGCGTTCGGAGTGTGAGGACCACTGTGAAATTAAAGGATTGGAGCGTTAGGAAGGCTGAGAACCACGGACTTCAAGCAAAATGCCGAGCCCTCAAGTTCTGGCCATTTTCAGAAAATTTCCCTGTTATTTTTAGTGGCTGCAGCAAAGAATGAAACTGAACTGTTCACACAATTCACTGTGTTCTGAAGGGCAGATGCTTGAGTAGAACCAGCAGAATAAGCACTGGAGAGAAGCTGAGGTCAGTCAGCTCAGGGGAGAGTGGACTGTGATAGGAAGTGGACCTGGGCACTTCCCTAAGGGTGGGAGAATTTGGCTAAATCCCAGTCTAATACACATGCTGTTCAAAGACCAGGATCACCAGGCTTTCTTACATGTGTAGGCATTCTTGAAAGTGTAGAAGGACAAGAGCAAAGATGGAAGTTTTATTAGAGAGAGAGGAAGCGAGAGAGACAGGGGGACCCTGCACAAATATAATGCTATTTGCTTCTTGGATAAGATAATATTTAAAACGAAAGTATTGTCATGCCCACTTAACAGATGAGGAACCAGAAGAGAAAAGTGATTGGTGTGATCACACAGCTAGAAATGAGGAATCTAGGCTTAAGCCCACACTAGGCACATGGATGGCACAGATAGCTCTGAATAGGCTCCTGAGATCTTTAGATTAGGAGATGACATTAGGATGTGGATGTTGACAGGGTGAGGGCTTTTGGGTATGTCACAGCTGTCTGGTTGGAGCTGTAACTCCAAAATTCGCCTCCCAGAAGAACAGGTATCGGGGTCTTACCCACCAGATCATGGGCATCTAGAAAGGTACTGGCCAGGAGCCAAGAACTTCACAGGTAGCAGAGCTTTTGGTGTGGGGGTTTGCCCTTTTAGCTGATCTGACCTCATTTCTCCTGTTCAAAACCTAAAAGACATACCCATTAAGGGCTTACGATCAGACCAGCACTCTCTGGGGGCCTTATAGGGCATTTGCTATGCATGTGGTCACAGGATGACCCATTGCCTTTAGTATATTTCAGCCATATTGTAAATTTCCTCAAAGTCATAGCTATGACATATCGCTCTGCGATACTTTACTGGATGCGTGCCATTCCAAGAGAAGCAGTTCCTAATGAAGAGATGATGGCATCACGATAACCTTCTGCAACGAGAGAACATCTCTCTTCCATTCCTTCTGCCATGAGGACACCTGTGTTGGGATCAGAAGAATGGATTAAATGTCCATTCTAAAGGCAAACCCAGAGTTGGAACACAGTCAGCACTGCCCCATTGCCACTTTGCTGATCTTTAGAAGAACGATACTAATATGCAGTCTTTTAACTTGACCATTTATTCATTAACATCACACAGATTTATTGGTAAGGGCTAGGTTCTCTGCTAAGTGCTGCAGACAGAAGAATGTTCCCAGCTTTAAACACACAGAAATCACATCAAGGCTGTGAATTCAGCCAGTGAGACGACTTGCAATCTAGAGTACCAAGCAATGCTTCTGGTTTGTAGCCACCAAGTACTACAGCTGAAAAGACAAGCATTTGCACGGCTGTAGAAAGTCCCTAGGTTCAATCCAAGTCATGAACTCACAGTCTGGTTGCTTAAAATTGTCATTCCCCTCCTTTATGGCCTTCAGGAAAAGAAGTCATTGCTTCCGATGTCCTCATCATTCCATTGTGGAGGCATAAATTCCGAAAACATGTTTTCAGTATGGATACCTTATACCCAATGTCCACAGGAAAACACTTGACTCTCAGCTTCACCTATCAACTTCCTTTTGCTTGCCAAATGTGCCAAACCCCTCATGGAATTTGTGGTTGTCTTCAATAACTAAGAGAGATACGCAGTCTCAAATGTCTAGTTGGCCCTAGACCTCAGCAGAACACTAGGGGAGCCTGGAAACTGGGGACCATAGACAAACAGGCTGCTTCTAACATTAACACAGGTAGAACTCACTCCTGTAGACCCCAGCTATCACCATCATAGCTACAGATCCTAAATCTATCTCCCTGTTTCTTCACACGATACAAACTTGGCATCTCAGGCTGGAGCTGCCAATTGGCCAAAACCAGGTCTTGTAGTCAAGTCTTAGGTTACAGGGAGAGAAAAAAGAACACATGAACCAGCTCTCATCAGGACACACACAGTGTCTTCAGCACAAGCTCCCCAGTATAGTGCCCAAATAACTAATGTCCTTTAGGCATTATCTGTGTTCATCTCAGAAAGGCAGCTTAGGTGACACAGTCTAAGGATGTGAAGGGTGGTGACTGATGAAAATCTCTGTAGAACCCAGTGAGGTAGAGTTTAATGATTTACTGGATATAAGTAGAGTCGGAGGGGGCAGGGAGAGGAACCGAAATGAGAGCAGGGAAAAAGGAGAAGGAGATGGGCATTAAACATTGGGCAGGCAGTCTGGAGGAAGAGGCTCTGGCATAGCTTGAAGGAACAGTGAAGATGCTTTTGACTCAGGAAGTGGGACTTACCCAACTTGTACTTCAGTTCCTTCTTTTGTAGGATGGGGGAGTAATACTATTTGTCTCAAAAAGTCAGGTGGAGAGCGTGTAAGGCTGGAACATGGGCACGAAGCCAGGCATTGCAATGGGCTTCATGGTTGCTACCATTACTTGAGGTGCTCTACAAATCTCTTCAAGTTTATTACTCAAGGATCCATAACTGATAACTATAAATCAGCTGGAATACAGTTACAGTCACTCATAACAGGTGGGACAGTGAGGTCGTTAGCTAAAAACAATGTTCTGGGCACACTGTTTAGAAATCAAGAAAATGACTTTTATTTTTACAGAGACCAAGGCGATGTTTTCACCGTGTTCTGTTTTTACTTTCAGAAACTGCCAAATCATAAGTCACTTCTACAAATCACGGTGACACAGCGTTATGAAGCTCCCATACTCTCACGAGGGTGTCAACCCGGAGTCTTACGTAATGAGGACTTTGGCACCTCACCCAGGGATTGGTTGCTTGCCAGTCCTCCATTCCCCAGAAAAAGGCATTAAGATTATTTGGACAATTGGGTGTGATCCAAGCTTAGGGTATGAGACAACATGCTGGCAACACAGCGGGAGGGCAACTCTTCTGCCTTTCAGAGACCCTGGGAAATTCAATTTTACATGCACATGAACAAGTAAACGCTTCAAGATTGCTGGCATTTCCAATTTCATCAGAACCTGCTTGAGGGCTACCCAAGTTCAGACTTGTCATGTATTCTGTGCAATCTACAGGGACTCTGAATCCTCTCGAGTTCCCTGAAGGGTCCTTGTTCTCTCGTCCTAAGGAATAGACTACCCCCAAAAGCCTTTCCTGATGCCCCCGAGGGAAACTGAATGTAGAACTTTCACCTATGAAAACCAGCTTGCATAGAGAGAAGGTTTAAGCTTCCTAAAGGGAAGAAGAACCTAGAGTCAAAAAGATCAAGATCAACTTTCCATCTGGAGAAC